CGATGCAATTTTTTTTTTTTGTTTTATTTTTTTTCTATTTAGAAAAGTTTATACTTGCAAGACTTTGTTACTATAAGATTTAAGACTTTTGAATAAGGCTAATATTGTCGTGAGGGACGCGAGCCAACATTAATTTATATATTTCACGGCGATTTGTTAATTACAGAGAGAGAGAGAGAGAGAGAGAGAGAGAGAGAGAGAGTGTGTGCGTGTGCGTGCGTGTGAGTTATATGGCTGCTAAACATCGAGAATTGTTGAAAAATGTTTTATTACTTCCATAGCGTTTGTGCTCACGTAACCGCAGCAGCATACGTCATTCATATACGAAAATATATTAAATTGATATAAACGAATCTGTGTTAGAAAACGATGAACAAAAAATTTACGAGGCGCAAAAGAAATTAATGGGTGATAATATTATAGTGGAGTTTTTCAATGAAATTAACGTGCTTCCCTTACAACATCAATATCCCTTTGACTAATGTTTTTAATTCGTGTGTTTCGCGACGAACCTTTCCACATACGATGAGGACTAACGAAACAGTTTTTACTGTTTTATCAAGGTTGTACCATCTATATTGGCGATAGTTGTCTGTATACGAGATTTCTATTTTGTTATGTTAAGTAATTACATTTTATTGTATATGATCTGAAGTATGTAGATATATCGTGCCTTTTTGTATATTGTACATTTGTAAATAAAATATTTTACATGATTTATTATAATAATGTAGCATATTTACGAAAATAATAAATAAAACTATCAAATGATTTAGATTTCTTGCTTCCTCCACGATCGATCGGCCGCATGATCATCAACAATTGGTCGGGTCCTGATGAATAATAAAACGAACGATTAATCATTGAGTATATTACATTTATTTGACATATGCAATCAATTCATATTGTTTACTTTTCAGTTTATACAAATTAAAAAATACGAGCTTGCCCAAGGCCTTTTTTTCCACCTTTTTTATATATATATATATATATATATATATATATATATATATATATATAATTTATCACTAATAAAATGCACATTATTTACAGATTCGCAAAATATACGAAGACTTTTTGCCTGATTTGAATATAAGTATAACTTGGCTTATCAACGTAACGAACAAATTGCCCCGGATAGGCGTCGTATATGATAGGTACCAGCACGATTGGCATAACAACTATCATAGATTATAATGCTCTATGATACAAATTATGAATATATATATATATATATATATATATATATATGTATGTATTCATAACGTTAGGTGTATGTACAAGTTTGTTCCGAACATCGCAATGGCAAATTATTAATCGTATAATTAGCGAATATAAAGCACGCAATGATTAATTACATTGTTTTACGCTCGTTATTATTTTACAATGATATTTACAAATTCATTTTATTATCAGTTTAATATATGATATAAAAGTACTTGGTGGTGGGGGGGGGGCGAAGAAAAAAAACAAAAAAAATATATATTTTTGTTTTCTTCTATTTCGTTTCACTGCGATAAGTGCCGTGTGCATATTATATAGTTCTTAAAGTCTTTCTCTTCTTAAAAATTATACTTAAAGGCGATTGTTATTAATTGTTACATTTGTTCGTGTGATACGTGCGCCTGTACGCGCCCATACCAATAGTAATTTATAAATTGCAACTTCTTTGTAAATGCTTTTACAAAACTTTGATTTCAGCGTATAAATAGATAAGCGATAATCGAGTCTCGATTTTTATAAAGAAGCCAGTTTCATCGTATAAATAAGTAAACAAGGGAGTCGAGTCCTAATATTTATAAAGTCCGTTACATACATTCATATAAAACTCGGTAATCGTTAAATCTTAAAAGACCTCTGGACGGTTGTTAGCTAAGACTGCGACAGACTGCTTATACCATTATATTTATTATTGCATTTAATTTATTCATTTGTAAGTATTACTCTTTATTTTGATATCGAGCAATTTGTACCTTTGCATACCGTAATTTATACGACCTGAGATTTCAAAGGAATGTATTCAGTAGAGGCGAAATTCATTATCATATAAAAGCTGCTGTTGCTGTTGCTGTTGCTGTTGCTGCTGATGTTGCTGCTGCTGCTGCTGCTGCTGCTGCTGTTGCTGCTGATACTACTAAAATATATATGAATGTTATCTCACGTTAAATACTCTTTAAGTCTATCGTAGCTTTACATTTTACATCAACGTATAAGAATCAGCAAGTTATTTTCATACAAAAATATAACTAAAATATTTAGACAAATTTGTATTTCAATCATGTGAGTGAGACTGTTGGATGATTGGCTTTTTTTTCTCTTCCTTTTTTTATTGTGCTTCCACGCGGATATACGTGAGGATATTTTTTAAGAAAACAACAACAACAACAACAACAACAACAACAACAACAAGAGAATCCGAATAATTAATTACACGAGCGCGATAAAGTAATCTCGTTCGTCGTTAATGGAGAAAAACTGACAACTAGTGCGAAACAAATTGGTATTTTTATAAATTTTCAACAAAAAAATAAATAAATACAAAACAAAAAAAAAAACAAAAAAAAAAAATAAAACTCCAACAATCAGGAAAAATAAAAAAGTAGAATAAGTATATTTAATTTCATATCAAGGTGATTGATAACGATAAATAGAATTTAACGTACTTGCAATGCATATGATGCCTGTGTTGGAGAAAAAAAGAGAAAAAGAAAAGAAAAAAAAATCTTACATCTACAATGTAACGCTGTCCGTTTCATTGTTTCATAAAACATATTTTATTGATTGATTTATATTGCAGCAACGCTACTTCACTTTAATCTTGCATCTTATTAAAATACAAACATTTTGTCACTTAGTTGTAAACTGTGTTTTGTAATTGGAACAGATACACGAGATGTTTAAAAATTAACAAATTCACAATATTCAATGAAGTTTGAGCGCCAAACAGTGACTTGTATTTTCAATCGAAGTCAAGAAGTATCAAGATTATCTTTAATACTCAATTTTTCATCATTCGAACATAAAGACATATAATATAATATCGCTTTATACAACTCCAATCGGTTGGTTCGTTATTTTAATCTTTAGATATGTACATTGCAATAATACCGAGGTTGGTCCTTTCTTCCTCGATCAAACATCACTTTACGAAGAATTTCCATTATAATTTGCGAGCTCGTTATTGTTATCGCTATTGTTATTGTTATTATCATTATCATCATCATCATCATCATCATCATCATCATCACCATCACCATCAATATCATCATCGTCGTCATCATCATCATCAATATTATTATTACTATTATGTGGATGCTTCAATACTTTGTTCAGACTTTTTAATGATCGTTATTTTTTTTATGCAACCTTAACGGTGAAAAATTCGAAAGAAAAACATTGGTTTTATACTGCACTGCAATAAAACGTTTATAAATGCACTTTTTCACAAAAAAAAAAAACTATTGTATTTAGTAAAATGTATTTTCATTTTTATGACGAATCTAAGTACAATTAACGTATTCAGAATGCGAGGCTGGCTGAGTTACAATTGACATTAAAAACGAATAGAATAGAATAGACAGTTAAGCGTTATTATTTATGTGCTTGTAATTTTAAGAGTGAGAGTGAGTGAGAGTGACAGATTAATCATTTATTATAAATAATAACGATAAACTGTAATAAAGATTATTAGAAATATAAGCTTACTAAGAAATAGATTACAGTAAGTGTTTAATTGTACAAATATTGTCCATAAATAAGTGATATACTTGTATTGCAAATTAGATAGATAAGCACTTTAAGGAAAATCATTATGTAAGCAATTACGATAAGCGTAGCGGTAAAGTCAAATAATTTAAATAAAATTTCTTTCAATTCAATTCAACGGGACTAACAAAGTTATCGGATATTAAAACTTTACGACAAGACATTGACGCAATGTCAATGCGAACGATGCAGTAACTCGGTAAATTTTCAGAATATCTGATCAAAGCACTGAAAATTCAGCAAATCATAATTAAATTAATAAATCGACGATCGAGAGCCCCGAGGACTCGATCAACATTTGGTATTATCAATAAACCAAATTGCTTGCCGTTATTTGGAAACTGACCAACCTCCAAGTAACACATACACTTTGTACACTTATAAGAGAATTGTCATGAATCGCTCGCTCGTTTCATTTCTCCCGGGAGAAAGAGAAAACAGATAAACGAATTATAATTCCAACTCCTCGGCAGTGCGCGAGAGTCTGTGATTATCAATACGACGACGCTGACTTCGCCGCACAGCGTCTGCTCGACGATAAGGCTCCGACCTCAAACCCAACAGGATATCTTCCAATGCTCCATTGTAAACCTCGTCCTGTTGCAGCAGTTTCTTCTCTTGAACGAGTCTAGTCTTGTTCTTTAGTTCGTTTATGACAGCATCCTGTTGGTAAAAATTACAATCGACAGTTACATAATTGATCAATTTATTTATTACGAAGTTGCGCGATGAATGATCATTCGGTCAAATCAAACATAATTATTGTTACTATTAATTGCTTTTGTTTTTTGTTTTTCCTTTATTTTTTTTTTTTTTTTCCAATATAAATGGGCGCGCGGAATGTGCGTTAAAGCTCGACTTTGCTGAAATTTCCGTTGCGCGTCAAGTTAAGAACGAGTTCGGAAGTACGAATGATTTTTTAATCGTAAATTCACAATCAACACAAACAAAAATAAGACTGTCGAGTTGAGCAGGACGACGATATTTCTGAATCTGTAAAGGCTGGATGGTTGGTGGTTACAAGCAAAACTTACAATAAATTAGCCTTTCCTTCACAATATCAAAGATGAAAAAAAAAAAAAAAAAAAAAAAAAAAAAATTAAATTACGTTCCAACTGTAAGGTGAGCAGCGCAAGAGTTGTTGTGTAAGTGGTAAGGATAATTTATATTCTCAAGCAACATCAATGCGCATAAATACATGCCGTTGCACATAATTGAAAAATCATTCCATGCTCCAAACGAGTGGAACCGAACGATCTGTTTGTGCTCGTGAGTAGTTCGATCGACTTTATTCTATTAGTTATTGAAATTTTTATGTAATATGCAATAGTGCACTGTGTGAATGAAAATAAGGCAGTTGTCGCTAGATATCGATAATGAGAAATAATCTTATAGTGGGTTATTAGTGAGAGGAGGAACTTACATGTTGTAATTTGTTTAAACATTGTTACGTTTTGAGCTCCAGTTCGTTTAGATGTCGATGTAACAATGACTTGTTCGAATTACAGCAAAATTTCGGTGACTTTAAGTCCGAATAAATATGCAACAAATAAAAAAAATAGAAGTTCTTAAATTTTACTCTACAATACTAAATTACACTTTACATAAGGCGACCATAGTAATGGTCGGTCTATTTATTGGCACACTCATTTCGAATCCCCTATATATATATATATATATATATATACATATATATACATACATGTATACATATATACATACATATATCATTATATCATGCTTCTTTACAACGTGCAAAGATCGAATGAATCTCGTTTTAAATTGCAATGCTTATTACAAATAAGTACACTTATATAAAAAAATTGTTTACATTAAAAATATTTTTTTTGTTTGCTTTTGTTTGTGTTTAAATCACAACTATGAACAAATCTTGAATTAATTTTATTTAACAAATAAATACGCTACCCCTTTTCACGTGCTTAGTATGAAATGTGTTTGAAAATAGTTTTTGTTGTCATGAGTAGGTGTGTGACGTGATTGGATGATGTAAATTAATAAAATAATCATGCAATTGTACTTAGTCAACGTATAAAGAAGAGACGAGGGATCAAACGGTTATCGGACACAATTAATAATAAGACTAAAAGTGTGCAAAGCAACAGAACCATTTTGTTAGTTTACCGTGTGTTAACGATCATGGTTAAAAAAAAAAATAAAAAAAAAATTACACCTAAAAATTACAAGATATCAAAAGAACACAACACACGAAGGGAAGAAGATTAAGCATTGATGTTGATAGAGAAGAGTTTCGTCGACAAACAAAACCCTAATGCTTAATGCGTAATTTTGTTTGTCTTTCATCGCTCGTCTTACTTCATTCTCTTTTTTTTTTTTTTTTTTTTTTTTTTTTTTTTTTAATTAAACCTACGCCTATCACGCTTATCTCAAACAAGTACCAAATTAACAATACACACATTACAATGATTGGAATGTCATTGTGAGGTTATTGAAAGCAGAGCATGCAGGATGAATGGTAAATCGTCGATAAACAATATTGCAATATTTGCAATATTGTCACAAAATACCTGCTGCTTCTTTTGATTCAACTTATTCCTCTTGATGACTTCTTCGGATGTGCTTAAAGCCTCAGCGGCCGCCAATTCCAGTCGCCTGCGTTGCTCGTTCTCCAGATCCGCAGCCTATCGATCAACAAAATAACGTGCATTTAATTTACCATTAAGCCGTGCTAATAGAGCGAGAAGAGCGCGATTAGTATTAGATTAGGAGTTACAAGTAGTACCTTGAATGCTCGAGCAAATCGTACGAGAAGTGAAAAGAAGGTATTGGCATCGGCTTGCCGTGGACTTTCGCCGAAAAATTCGACGCATTCCCTGAAGGCGTCACCAGCTGCCCTGGCATCCGATCTTAATCTACGTAGCTTTTCCTCTGAATTATTAAGAAAGTCGCGTAGCACCGTATTGTGCTTCTCCTTCCCACGTAACTCGAATTCCTTACGAACGAGATCCATGCCCTTTTCCAATTCGTGAACGTCGGTCGTTATATTTTCAAGCGATACTGAAAGAAAGGTGAAAGGTGAAAGGTGAAAGAAGAGCGCGTCTCATGGCAATCCTTCACATTATTAATTTTACGATTAGTTGGTATTTAAGGATGACGTCTCATTGGCCTCGCCCACGCCATTACCCTACCTGTCGCTGCTTTATCGATATACATCAATTCGGACTCGAAATTCACGAGCTCTGGGAATTTGAGCCTTATGGTTGCCACGATATAGTGCAAAAGGCACATTCGCTTATCAGTCGACTTTGTATCCAGGAGTGTGTCCAAGCTCTGCAGCTTAAAGCCGTAGGCGGGACCTCGCTTACTGCTGTTCAAATAATTTCCAAAGGCGAGAATTATTTCCAGAACGGCGCGCAATTTCTTGGAGCATTTGACCGAGCTCGACGCGGATATCACAGCATGTATTTGGGGAGCGATAAGATGAACGTTATCGAAGAAGTTCCCTATGTAATTCATAATTGATAATTTTGTTGATATGCGCTCGACTTTGCCAAGTTGAAGGAGAAATTTGTCCTCCTCGGTTAAAAGATTCACGTTCTTTTTCTCAATAATGTACTCGCGATAGGCTTTCGTCTGCGAAGAAAAACAATGATGAATTAGCGTTATGTCTTGGGGGCTTGGGGGCGTGGGGGGCTTGGGGGGCTTGGGGGGCTCGGAGGGCTTGGGGGGGGTGGGGGGCGTGGGGGGGGTGGGGGG